GGACCGAATGCGCGAAAGGCGAGCGCGAGGTCATTGATGGCACGCGCGAGACGACTGGAGCACATGGGCGTGCCGTAGGCAATTGTAGTGAAGGTATTGGCTGGGACGAGTTGGAGTTGGCCAGCTGCGGCGAAGCGCGCGACGAGCGTGCAGGTATGGGTGACGATGCGTACGCGCGCAAGGAGCCGGGCAGCAGCGGAAGGACGTACGCGGGCGAAGACCTAAGCCGTGCGGGCTTAGGTGAGGCAGGCGATACGATGGATGATGCGGATAGAGGCCTACGCCGGGAAGGACTAGGAGTGCCGGGCGATGACGAGTACGTGCGCGAGAAGGTTGGCGTTGGCAGGACGCGCGCGACAACACGCGAGTGCGGGGCATGCGATCGAAGCCCAATCCACATGGGCCTAGGATTGGCGGCAGGGGCATGCGCGGGTGGCAGCAACGCGCTGGGCGCGACACACGGACAGACAGCGTGCGCGATAGACGCCGCGTGCGAGACAAGCGCGCGGGTTACCGCGCGCCACGAGGAATAGGTAGGGGCGCGCGACGCATGGAAAGGGCCGAAGTGTTTTAGCATGTGAGGAATTAGGGACATTCTAGATTTGCTTGGTGTGCAAGCCAAGCAATAGTTATTTGGTAGGTTTAGGATTTTATTGCTTTCTAGACTTAGGATTTCTATTCTTGCATGATTTAGGAGATCTATTAGATTTAGGCCTAGATTTATTTTACACCTATAAATACCCCATGTACCTCATCATATTTTACAAGTTGAATGAAGTATTGAATTGGTGAGCCAATTTTGAGGGGGAACCTTGTGTTCTTAACGTGTGATAAAGAAGGCCATTAGTGCGTCTTTACATACAGTGTCGGAGAGAAGGCCAATAGTGCGTCTTGAATTCACCGTGTCTAGGAGAAGGCCGCAGTGCGTCTGCTAGATACATCTATCGGGGATAAACGAAGGCCTCAGTGCGTCGTTTATTCGCAACCCCAGTATAGGCAAAAGATCGATCCGTCATCATTGGTGCTTTCATTGAGAGGTGCTGATCGATATTTTGTCTATCTTATCTTTTATTTTTTCGGTTTTTCCTTTTGGTGAGGGAACCGAATTTCTCTTCTTTTTTGTGTCGAAATTTTTGAATTTTTTTCGAAATTTCATTAAAAAAAAAAAGTGTCAACTTGTTAGTCCTTTGTTATTTTTTTCGGTTATTACCTTTTGTTGAGGGGCCGAATTTCTTTTCTGTTTCGAATTTTTGAGTCTTGTTGGGGGTTCGAATTTTTCGATTTTTTCCCCATTTATTCCCATTTTTTTTTCGATTTTTTAGAGTAAAAAAAAAAAAAAATTATGTCTTACCCACCAATAGATGAGTTAGATTGGGAAGATCTTAAGATGTTGGAGGGTTTAGAAAGAGAGCTCACACCATGGGAGGCAACGTATTTAGATGAGCTTCATGAGAGGAGGAATATTGAGGAGTATGAACGACAACTCATGGAAGCCCGAGACGCGATGGTGGTTGAGAACAATGAAGAGGAAGGTGCGCTTAATTTCTTAATCCTTGAGGACAAGGAAAGTCTCGAAGAGGAGGGGAATGATACGGAAGTGGTCATCAACCCCGGTGAATCCGACAATGATGATGGCGATGATCTTGATATTTGGTTGGAAAACATGTTTGAGGCGCCATCTAGTCCTATTTACCGGCCATCATATGTACAAGATTGGCCAAAAAGTTGTGGGCCAAAGCTGAAGTCGATGGTAAGGAAACGGACGACCAAGAGACGTCGCAAAGCACGGGCCCGAAAAGCAAATCAATGTAGGTGCGAACCTTGTGCAAGGAAAAGACAAGCTCAAAGGAAGGAGGCTAAAAGGCGTGATTTGCGATGGGAGAAGAATGGTTGGGGGATACCGGCAGATGATTGTGTGAGATTAAAGGGATGGGATCCATGGCCCGAGCCGACGGGAACGAGTGGTAACAAGGACGGCAATGATCGGCTAATGGGTGAGTGGCGCGCATCGGCCCATGATGCGCGCGGTTGGACCGAACAGGATACACACGGAGATACAACACGCGATCAGGCCACGGGGATGGGCGGTACAGCGGACAATGCATGGTTGCGGACCGAATGCGCGAAAGGCGAGCGCGAGGTCATTGATGGCACGCGCGAGACGACTGGAGCACATGGGCGTGCCATAGGCAATTGTAGTGAAGGTATTGGCTGGGACGAGTTGGAGTTGGCCAGCTGCGGCGAAGCGCGCGACGAGCGTGCAGGTATGGGTGACGATGCGTACGCGCGCAAGGAGTCGGGCAGCAGCGGAAGGACGTACGCGGGCGAAGACCTAAGCCGTACGGGCTTAGGTGAGGCAGGCGATACGATGGATGATGCGGATAGAGGCCTACGCCGGGAAGGACTAGGAGTGCCGGGCGATGACGAGTACGTGCGCGAGAAGGTTGGCGTTGGCAGGACGCGCGCGACAACACGCGAGTGCGGGGCATGCGAGCGAAGCCCAATCCACATGGGCCTAGGATTGGCGGCAGGGGCATGCGCGGGTGGCAGCAACGCGCTGGGCGCGACACACGGACGGACAGCGTGCGCGATAGGCGCCGCGTGCGAGACAAGCGCGCGGGTTACCGCGCGCCACGAGGAATAGGTAGGGGCGCGCGCATACGCGTAAAAGGCGCGCGATGCATGGAAAGGGCCGAAGTGTTTTAGCATGTGAGGAATTAGGGACATTCTAGATTTGCTTGGTGTGCAAGCCAAGCAATAGTTATTTGGTAGGTTTAGGATTTTATTGCTTTCTAGACTTAGGATTTCTATTCTTGCATGATTTAGGAGATCTATTAGATTTAGGCCTAGATTTATTTTACACCTATAAATACCCCATGTACCTCATCATATTTTACAAGTTGAATGAAGTATTGAATTGGTGAGCCAATTTTAAGGGGGAACCTTGTGTTCTTAACGCGTGATAAAGAAGGCCATTAGTGCGTCTTTACATACAGTGTCGGAGAGAAGGCCAATAGTGCGTCTTGAAGTCACGGTGTCTAGGAGAAGGCCG